CTTCCATTAACATAATTTTCTCAGCTTCTCCATCCATAAAATAAGTGAGGACGGCACCCCCACCTCAGAAGGCAGGGCTATAAGATTCAGATGGGCCAAGTGCTGAAGGAGTACAGAGCCCTGCAGTGATGGCTGGACAGCCACTAGGCAGGATAGGGCCCCCTCTCCTCAACATACCCACCAACCTGAGCTTCAAATCCAAACTTGAACTTCAAATCCACAAACGCTACACCCCAGCAAGATGATAAGTAGTCATCCATTGCTGACTTCAGGGTCGCCTGTAAATTGCCAAAATGAGACCACTAAATTCACAAATACCAAAGGTCCCTAAGTAGAGAACATCCATGGGCAGAGACCCACCCACTCACTCCCCAAGGACAACAATAACAGCAGCAACAACCACTTACTGAATTTCAGGCACTGTCCTAAGTACTTCACCTGTTCAGCAAGTTCACTCATCTAACACTCTCAACCACCCTAAGCTAAGTACTATTATCACCCTCAATGTACACACAGGAAAGTGAGGACCAGAGGGGGTAAGGAATGTGCCAAGGTCACGTGGGTAGTCAGCATGGAGCCAGGTCTGAAACCCAGGCAGTCCCATCAATAGACAACTGGTGGCCAGAAGGATGTTTCCTCCCACTTGAAATCCAGTGTGCTCCCTAGGAGGCTGGCAGGTGTTTATTTGCAAGGCTGGGTTATGGATATTCCCAATGCTGCAAAGGAAATCTAAGTCAGTATCTCCTCCCACCTCTGCATCCCAGAAATGGCGACAAACCCAGACATTAAAACAAAAGAATACCTACCCACACACCAGCATCACTTAATCCTGGAAAAGTCCTCCTCGCTCCAACACACATGCTCAAAAGAATTCCAGCCCAGAATGCTAAGCCTCCCAGCAAAAAGGGACCTTCAACATGAACCTATTTTAAAGAAAGAAATGTAGGGCCTGAGGGGAAGGGACAGGCTCCGTGGCAGTCTACACTTTCCCTGGCATGCCTCCCGGGCAGTTTAACATTGACACCAAACACTTAGCACCACGAGGGCAGGGGCTCTGCTCCACTGCACCCCAATCAACCACCTAACTAATACCAGACCTGGACTCTAGAAGGTGCTCAGTAAACTTGAACATCAAAGAACTTCTCAGTCCCTTCAGAGGGAACTGTACAAACGGGTCCACAGTGAGCTACCATGGTCTGAGACTGCTCCATAAACATGTTTCCTGCAAGCCAAGTTGGCCCAGCGAGCATCCAAGTCTCTCAAAGGTCGGGACTTCATAGACACTCTTCTCTTTGGGGTCCTCCAGGAGGCCCTGCTGGACCTCAGCAAAGAAGCCACATTTAATAAACAAGGAGGCCACATTCTTCTGTAAACAGGCCTCAAAACTGGACTCAGGGAAGCTCTCTAACAGGTGGTGCAAGTCCCTTACACTCCCTGAGCCTCAGTTTCCCATCCCTACCTCCTTGGGTTGGTGGGAGGATTAAGTGAGGTGAGGTACCTGGAAGCACTTCATTAAAAGTCAGCTATTATTAGAAAGATGAGGTTCACCCACATTTCATACTGAAAGGTTTCACAAAGTCATATGCCTCTTTGGCCACCGCCTACAACGCAGGTTCAGCCACAGAAAATGGGCATAGAGAAGGAGTTGGAGGAGAGGCACAGAAAACACAAACAGAGGGGGGCCTGGCTCAGCCAGTTCCTCAACAGGGTACCATAGAGAACTAAAAAACTTAAAAATTAAATTAAAATCACCTAGTATTTCCAACTAGCAACTGTATCTCTTCACTCTCCTTCTGAAGCTACTTCTGGGAATCTGGAAAAAGACGCAAAGAGGGGGTGTGAGGGAACTGAAAGGCTGCTCCCGACTAGGAAGGAAAAGCAGGTGAGAGGGGCAGAAGAGAACACAGCCAGAGCCTGTCTCTGCAGAGAGGAAGAAACAGAAGATAGCACCAGGAACAAACAGCACCACTGAAAAAAACACACTGATTCGAAGGCCCATCTGCTGGCTAGACAGAGGCCCCTTCCCACCAGGGCACTCATTTGAAAAGTCTGGCCCTTGTGCCTGGTAGGTGGGGAGCACTTCCCAGGACTTGGTTGTAACCACCTACTGTTGCTGTCAACGTGCACTGCCCCCTCAGAGAACAAGGCATCACACTTGCCAAGGGACTCAGCCTTGTAAGGGAAGTGTCTCTGAGGACTAAACAGCAGCAGCTGGACCCCTGAGAAGATAATGAGTGAGTCCATCTTATTGCTAGAAGTACCCAAGGAGAAAGGCTCTGTCAGAACAAATCTCAAAGTAGCCAGGTTGTACCCATTTTAGAAGTTAAGGGAAAAGCGCAAGAGTATAGAGCCTGCCCCTTTCTCACACCTTTCTCGGCCATCTGTAAAACAAAGGGTCTGGCTGAGGTGATCTCTAACATCACTTCCTCTCTACAATTTTTACAAACCCTGACATTCAGCTAAACAATTCATCCCAGGTTGGACCATTCAGGTCATCCCCTGACTCCGGCCCAAACATGCAAAGCAGAGCTTCATCATTCGAGAACATCTCTGGACTTTTTCATTAGGGAACTCATAGACAATTCGTCATCCATCCATAGAGAAGCCCTGCACCCCCAGATTCTGAATGTTGAAAACATGCTAATGTCCATTCTCACTGTCTCTCTGGCCACTAAGATCCCACTGACCTTAACAACAAGCAAAACAGCAGTAAAGGGCTCTCTAGTCACCAATTCAACAGTTGGAGCATTTTGCAGCCAGCATACAAATGCAGCCACCAGGGGGCACTGCCCTGAAAGTAATAAACAAAAACTCTTTTTGGTGTTTTCTTTTCCTTCTTACACTTAAGTGGCAAAACACCTAAAGCTTCCCTAATGAAAACACAAAGCAGGTTTCCTGGGGTTCTAGAATAGCCTAGATGTCTTCTGCCTTTTGTTTGAAACCAATATTTTGGCCAAAAAAAAAAAAAAAGGCAACTAGACTTTGAACACAATAACCCTTCCAGAGAAATTAACACTCTACTCCCCATTTCCCCTAAGAATGGTTGACACCATAGCTTGCCCTGAATCTCCCACCCCTTTAAAGGCTGAGGGTTCACAAGATGGGCTAGCCAATCTTTAGGTCCAGCATGAGGATTCAGGTGTGCATCTCAGCAGAGACTGTTTTGATAGAGCTACCTAATTACAGAGTAAAACATACCAACCCAAAGACACGTCTAGAGCTTTAGTTGCAGACACAGAATGACACAAATACAGATAGCAGAAAAAGCGAGCGAGGCATTAACTGGGATTTCCCAGGTCTTATATGACTGCACGGGGAGCTCTGGCGCCTCTTATCAGGACTGGACTGCAAGAACATGCCAAAGGGTCGTCTCCAAATTTCTTCAGTGTCTAGGGTCCTTTCCACAAGTGTATATATCCACAGGGCAATGTTCAAGTATTCTGTAATGTTCCCAAAGCCCTAGAACCCATTTTCAAGCTTTAGCTTCAAGTTCCTTCTGATTTCCTTGTGAATTCCAAGGGCCACTCCGCATTCCCTATAACTATGAAAAACTTCCTTTCTCTTAGGGACACTAGCCTGGGAGAAGACTGCCTACCATACCCCCAAACCAAGGGATGCAAAACCAAGAGCTATTAAAAAATAAACAAGCCTCACCCCTCCAGCTTCAAAGAGAAGAGGGCCTGTGGGGCTTGCAAGGGCAAAGGAGCAGGAAGCCCTTGGGACAGGCATGAGGCACAGAGAGATGCCGCCAGACCCATCTGCACATGCCAGCTCAGGTCAGACACTGGCCCAGCCACACCAGGGCATAAGAAAACCCAACTATTCAATTCTCTAAGATCTCTGGGGACCCCACAGGGACTACAATGCAACTAGGGCCCATTTTCAAAAATCAAATCCGGGCGGCACCTGTGTCTCAGTGGGTAGGGTGCTGGCCCCGTATACTGAGGGTGGCAGGTTCGAACCCCACCGCGGCCAAACAGCAACAAAAATAAATAAAAAAATAAAACCTACCAAGCAGAAACACTGCATCACAAAATAAATAAAAATCAAATCTACCAAGCAGAAACACTGCATCACTTCTACCTGGAGTCTGCAAAAGGCTCCTACAGCTGGATTCTCTTATGCTTTCATTGAGAACTGGATTTAACTAACGGCTTCTCAGAAGCAAAGTCACAGTCATGGAGCAAGGCGAGGCCTACCCGACCCAAGACTCCGTACTTCTGTAATTTATTAAGAATACGATCTCCTAAATACCAGAGACGCCACCAGGAACACCATCAAGGTGGGAGGGGGGCGCACAAGCTGAATGGTGGAAGGCTCTACACCACAGGAATTCATTTATCTAGCACCTTCTGCAGCAGCCACTCCCTAGCCGTAGGACCCCAGGGGGGGTACCCTACCTCTCTGCTGAACAGTCACCCAGGACACGTGGCCCAGTTCACCACCCGGGCCAATTTGCAAGGCTGCTGTAAGGCTCTAATGAGACAGCAAATCACCACATACATGCCAAGTATTGCTACTTGCTTCAGACGAGCTTAAGCCAGTGCTATGCAATGACAGCTTCAAGAACCAAGCATACGCGGGCACGTAGTAGGTGCCTACGAACGTTGGTACCCTTCTCCAATAAACGGAAGGAGACGAAAGACGAAAAACACTCGGGTCCAAAAATACTCCCCTCCCCTGGCCGCAGCGCGGACTCCCCGATTTCCCAGGTCCCTCCGCCAACCTTCTACAGTACTCCCACGGCGCCCGGGATAAAGGGGGTCTCCCCAGCGGGGTCACAGTGCACCTGAGAGCCCTGGTTGGTCCAAACCTCATCGCCCGTACTGGCCACCACTGCCCTCGAACACAGCCGGCGGCCCACAGCCACCTGGCCACTCGGACTCAGTCTCCCCGCGCGCCGCTTCTTCCCGTTTTGCTCCAACCTCCCAAAACAACCGCTGAGGCTGGACCGGGCTCAGGCCGGGGGTCCCGGGCGCCCGAACCGCGTAGCTCTTTACCTGCACAGCTCGGCGAAGGCCTGGAAATTGAGCTTCTTGATTTTCTTCTCGCTCAGCCAGTAGCCAACTCTCTTCCCTTTCAGAAAGGTCTGCATCTTCCTCCTCGGGCGGGGAACCTGGGTCCGGAGGAAATCGCCCACAGGCCGAGTCTGGCGGCCCGGCGCGCGCCGCGAGCGTGCGGGCACCTCCTCCCGGCGGCGGGGACGCGGAACGGGCTCCGGGCGCGCAGTCCTGCGGGGAGGGGCGGGCAGGGGCGGGGCAGGCGCGGCAGGCGGCGGGGAGGAGGGAGCGGCGCTCAGCGCGGAACGCCACTGGCTGGGCCGCGCCGGGCCGCCCGCAACGCCGCCGCCGCCCACGCCCCCGCCGCCCGCGGAGCTCACGCCCGCCAGTCAGCCCGCGAGCGCTTCGCCGCCCGGCGCAAGGGCTGCAGCTGGGGCCGCGGCCCGGGGAGAGAAGGGCCGGGCCTTCGCGGACACCGCCCCGACCCAGCGTGCCTCCCTTCGGGGCGCGCGGGCCCGAGCCCCACGCCCTCCGGCAGCGGCTGAGGCGCGGCCCCTGCGCCCTTCTTCCCGCCGCCCTCCAGCGCCCAGGTCCCCACCCTACCTGCCCGTGCGCTGTGTTCGGCTGTTGTCAACCGGGCGCCTACCCTGCGGGCGTCCTCGGACCCCGGCAGGGCGCACGCGGCTGCCCGCG